CATTCCCTAAAAACGTAAAAAGGTTTAAAGCGTCTCTCTTTTCTCTAAAGACAAATAATCTCAAGATAAATTTTAGCCCATTATCTCAAACTATTTTCAGAATGAAAATGGAGGAAGTTAAAGATAAAAGTAGGGGTTTGGGAATTAGTTTATTGGCACATTGTTTTCATTCATTAGTTAAATTGTTTAAAGATTGTGAAAAAGTAAAAGCAACCTCTAATTTTTTGAGCATCTCCTAGCTAAAATTCAAATTCTATGTGCCTCATATTACCTAATGTAATCTTACGTATAGCTAACATGTACTGAAAGCTTACTCTGTGCAAGGAACAAGGCTAAGCACTTCGCACACCTAATGGTATTTAATCTTTACAACAACCCTGTGGAATAGATACTCTGTTCTACTCTTATTTTATATCTGAGAAAACTAAGTCTTATAAATATCAAATAACTCTCTGAAAATGTCACATGTCTGAACTCTTGTCTGTTTCTCTATATTGCCTAGTTGGGAAGTAGCTATTGGGTTCCTTTCTTTTAAAAGCACAGAAACTGAGTCTTTAGAAAAAGCAAGAACAAAAATCTAAGGTGACGTAGCCCTCTATAATGGTGCATCCAAGATAAAATTTATTTTCCGTTTGGTTCCCAAATCTCTCCATACCACCCTACTATCAAAAAAACAATGACAAGGAAATAGCCTGGGTCAGGAGATATTTTACTCACTCGTTCATAGCATCTATGTTTCCAAAAGAAACAAGATGTGAGTCACATAGCATACTAAGGCACTTCAAAATTGTGTGTGATAAAAAAATTGTCAGTTATATTCACCGACTTTACCAAGATAGAGGATAAGCATATACATTTGAAGATTTGTATTAGTAGGGTTAAAATAAAACACATTTTAGGAAAAGGAAAAGGAAACTAAAGAAAAAATTTAGTAGGTCCACCTTAATCAATATTCATCTATTCAGGTGATTTACATTCCTTATCCCTGGATTTTTCATGAAATTGTCAAATTAATAGATGAATTCTAATTCGGACCAAGCTTTCAGAAAAAGTATAGAAGACAAAAGAGAAGCTGACTTGTAATTCCACCAATCTCTCTTTCTTTTTTTCTTTTCTTTTCTTTTTTTTTTTTTTTTTGAGACGGAGTCTTGCTTTATCACCCAAGCTAGAGTGCAGTAGCACGATCTTGGCTCACTGCAACCTCCACCTCCCGGGTTTAAGCCTTTCTTCTGTCTCAGCCTCCCAAGTAGCTGGGATTACAGGCACCTGCCACCATACCTGGCTAATTTTTGTATTTTTAGTAGAGATGCGGTTTCACCATGTTGGCCAGGCTGATCTCAAACTCCTAACCTCCAATGATCCACATGCCTCAGTCTCCCAAAGTGCTGAGATTACAAGCTTGAGCCACAGCGCCCGGACAAAAGTCTCATTTTTATTACACTTAAATGATGGTGCTTGACTAGAAATACTTAGTATTTGTTTAGGTTTTACCATTTCAGAATTGAAGTATTTAATTTAAATAACAGAAAAGCAGAAAGAAAAAAACAGTGTATGTGAAATGGATTTTGGCTGTGATGTTTATTTTTGTGTGTCAACTTGACTTAGCCATTTGGTGCCCAGATACTTGGTCAAATATTATCCTGGGTGTGTCTGTGAGGATCTCTATGAGGGAGATTAACATTTGAATTTGTAAACTGAGTAAGATTGCCCTCCCCAATATGGATGAGCCTCAGCTAATCAAGGAAAGGCCTGAATAGAACCACAAGGTTGACCTTCCCTTTCATAAAAGGAAATTCTTCCTCCTGACTGCCTTGAGCTGAAACATTAGTTCTTTCTTTTGATTCAAACTGAAGCATCAGTTCACTAGTCCTCAGCTTGATGTCTTTCAGACTGAAATGATACCATTGTCTTTCCTGGTTCTCAGGCTTTCAAGTTTGTTGTACTAGAAGTATACCATGAGTCCCCCGTTTGTCCCCCGTTTGCTGACTGCAGATCTGACCTCTCAGCCTCCATAATCACTTGAGCCAATTTTTGTAAGTGAGCCAGTCATATGTACATATGTATCTGCAAATATATACATATATATCCACACACATGTATCCTATCAGTTCTTTTTCTCTGGAGAACCCTAACACAGTGGCCATGTAAAAATTTCTTTTGCTTTTCCAATCATATATGATAATCTTCTATGGTGCTTTATTAAGTATATGCTCTCCTTAGATATTCTTTATAAAAATGTATGTGTTCTCTAGATAAATTATATGCTTATTTGTATATGTGAGCAGATGTTAATATATGTATTTATAAAGGTATAAAACAGCCTCATATAAAGTAGATAGTCAATTTTTTTTAGTATTCACTTATTTTTCTTTTTGAACCAACTTTAATAGGGTATAATTTATATATAAATAAATACATTTATTTTAAGTGTACCCGAGGAGCTTAAGCTATTGTATACCCTCATGCAACTACCACCACAATCAGGGTCAAGAAAATTCCCACTACTGCAGAAAGTTCCTTCCAATCTCTTTGGTCATAATCAAACCACACAGTTAAACACATTTGTATTTCTACACTGATGTATATGAATATTGACATTAAATGGTATAAAGAATATTAATGCCTATCTTAATACTGTATGCCATATTGGGGTAGATTTTTCTGCCATAAGCTTCCAGAAAACTTTTAAAAACATTTTGGATTTTGAAATTGTTAATAAGAAACTGTGGACCTGTTTAAAAAAGTTATATGATAATGAAAAGGATATAAAAGTGATAATTACTCCTAAATATACATGTTATTTGTTTGTATTAGAGACATCCTGGACTTATGACGAATAAACTTAAAAACAAAAAACTTTTTGAATAATCTTTGAAAGCTAACTTATTTTAAGAAAATTTATTAACTAGTGTATACTTTGTACCTAATAGTATACTTGGCACATAATAAGTACTCAGTAATACATTTTGTTTTGCTTTCTGATAATTCTTCCTCACTCATCCCTGTATACTCCTGTTTGTTAATTTAAGAAGCTCTAATTTTTTCTACTTGTTTAGTGTCTGGCAAATAATCTAGGACTGTGCTGTTCAATAATGTAGTCATTAGCCACATATGATTATTTAAATTTAAATTAATGGCTATTAAAATGAAAAAGCCATTTCCTTAGCCACACTAGTCACATTGAGATGCCTGACAGCCACAAGTGGCTCATGGCTACTCTATCAGACGCGAATATTCTTAAATAAATCCTACACATAAACTTTTTCCTAAAATTATTTTTGCTTATATCTGTTTGTTTTAAAAAACGAAAGAGAAAGAAAAAGAAAATGAACTTATTTTGGAAGTGATCTCAGCCAGTTCCCAGAGAATAGCTGGAAGGGTCTAACTTCATTTTAGAGAGATGATGATTAAGTAACTTGCCCAAGGTCACAAACCTACAGTGGGGTGGAGTTGAGATCAGTCTCTAGATGGCCGAAGGTAACTCCATACTCCCTTGGATTACACCATGCTGTCTCTCAATTTTTACAAGTTCAAGCTCTTAGAGGGTTTCTATGTGCTTGTTTGTTTTGTTTCTTTTTTTGTCACTTTGTAAGATTTTGGGCTATGGCAACAGCTGCTACAGTGATGCTCCTTGCTTGCCAGTTATCTGGGATGGCTGGCCATGTAAATGATGGTTGATTATCCTGTTGGCACAGTTTTGTGCTTCTAACATCTTTGCCATATGGTCGTGCTTTCCCATTGGAAAATCTGACTCGTTTGTAAACTGATTTCCTCAAGAGCAGAGACCATGACTCCTGCTTCTTTGACATTTATTTTGGGCCGAGGAGAGTGCACCCAAGAGCAGGAGCTTGATGAACATAATCGGGATTCAGGCCCCTCCACTCATCCTTCTGTCTAGCTAGCAATAATGTTCCTGTATTAGCTTCTACTGCTACTGTACCACAAATTTACTAGTTTGGAACAATGCAAACACAGTATCTTCCAGTTCTGGAAGTCAGGAGTCTGAAATGGCTCTTACTGAGCTAAAAGCAAGGGGTCACCAGGCCTGCATTTTTCCTAGTGGCTCTGTGGAAGAATCTGTGTTCTTGCCTTTCCCATCTTTTAGAGGCACACCACAGTCCTTGCCTTTCTGTCTTCCAAGCCATATATGGTAAAGTGAGTCTTTCTCACATCACATCACTCTTGACACTCTGCTTCCTTCTGTCACCTGCTGTGACTCCGACTCACCCTCCTCTCTCAAAGTACACAGCAATTACATTTATATTTACCAGATAACCCAGGACAATCTTATAATAAGATCTACTAATTAGAAACCTTAATTCTATCGATAGCTTTAATTCGCCCTTGCTATATAACATATTCACAAATCTGAGGATATGGGTGTGGACATCTTGGGGATCTATTCTGCTTACCACAATTCCTTTTATCATTTGGTAGTTTCTTCCTTACATATATTTCTCCACTATCCAAGTGTGACCTTTTTGAGCATAATGTTCTATCCTATCTGTTTTACACACATCCATCCTCACATGGTTCCTACAACATAAAATATATAAAATACATATTCAATATAAAAATGGAAGCATAGGCCAGGCACAGTGGCTCATGCCTATAATCCTAGAAGTTTGGGAAGCTGAGATGGCAGATCACCTGAGGTCAGGAGTTTGAGACCAGCCTGACCAACATGACAAAACTCCACTCTACTAAAACTACAAAATTAGCTGGGTGTGGTGGTGCACATCTGTAATCCCAGCTACTTGGGAGGCTGAGGCAGGAGAATCACTTAAACCCAGCAGGCGAAGTTTGCAGTGAGCCAAGATTGTGTCATTGCACTCCAGCCTGGCAAACAAGAGCAAAACTCTGTCTCAAAAAGAAAAAGAAAAAAGAAAAGTGAAAGCATAAAGAAATATGCTGCTTAAAATGTGTCTTATCTGGAAACAGAAACATACTTTACATGTAAACATCTTTCTATTTATTCAACAAATGTCTTGAGTTCTTACCATATACCCAGATCTGTTCTAGGTTGTTGGAGAAAATAACAGAAATCCTTGAATTTAGGTTCCAGTGGTTGGTGTTGAAAGTAAAGCTTGGAGTCACAAAGAAAAAGAGCTCTTAAACAAATAATTTCTCAGCAAAGCAAATTTACTTCTGCAGAAGGGTGTTTCTTGCAGGTCTGGTCGCCCTGAGAGCACAACGAACAAAAAAGGGAAGGGTTTTTTATTTCTAATGCAGCTTGTCCCTGCTACTGTGTCCTGCCTCCATTGGCTGGAGTTGGACTGCACAATTTAACCGGAATCTGAATGGCTAACTTGAAAAGTGCAGGAATGTAGTTACACTGGTGGGAAGGACAGTTTCTTGCCACAGGAGGGGCAATTTACAGAGTGAGTAACAGATGTGGGCTTTGTAGATAAGGACTGGTGGGAGAGTTGTTTACTGAAACCAAGACAGGGAGGGATAGAGAGCAAGGAAGTTTGGCCTTGAAAGTAGAGAACAAAGAACAAGGAAACTAAACAAGCTAAACCTTTGAAGAGGTACTTTTTCTTGTATCTGACAACTCCCCCCTTTTAAATGTTTATAAGTATTCCTCTTCAAACCTTTTTAACATATCTTGACTTTGTTGTTTTGCTTGACCTTTTAAAAGAAAAAGTTGATTTGAATAGGGAGGCGGGGGAATTATGGGAGTTTTTGGTGAGAGCTATTTCAATACGTTTTTGTATTAATCCCCGGGCGCAGAGTATGATACAGTATCCTATGAGAACAAATACACCTATGACAATTGCAAGAGATGTTAGTACTGAAGACTGAGCCCTTTCCATTTACTGAAACACCTTTTCATAAAACTTGTGAAGGGGTCATTTATCCCAGAATTTTTGGCCAGTTTATTTGATAGTGAGCTGAGACTTTGTTAAGTTTTGGTAATTGTTCCATCAGGGGCTATGTTGTTGGAGATAAATGTACAACATTGGATTTTGGTCATAACACAGACTCCACCTTTTTTTTGCTAGTATCATGTTTAATGCTATTTTGTTTCCCCAAGCCATTTGACTGTTGGGCTTTAATGGTTCAGCTATTCCTTTAATAGCATCCCTGGCATAATTAACAAATCATTGTTGATTGTAACATATGTAATTTATCCAATCTACATTTATATTTCTTGTTGTACTTAAACCCTGTAGCTATTTGATTTTGAACTTTAAATTCATTTGGTACCTCTCGTGGGACTCCAATAGCATTTGTGTAAACATGAGGGTTAAAAGATCTGGGTGGAGTGCTTCTTCTAACTCAATCTTGAATTTTTTGCTTACTGTGTTGGAGGAATTCCAGGGTGAAAGGGATGGCCAATTGGACTAGAGTGTAAGTGCTGCTCCAGTTATTTGGCAGATAACTCAATGGTAGTTTCCCATAATACTACCATACGTCTGTTTGGGAGTGAACAAGGACAGATTGACTGGTAAGCTTTCGGAAAGGCTTAGTTTCATTGAACCCTTTTAGGTCTCCAAGAGACATCAATTTCTCCCCCTACCATAAGAGACACAAGGTAAAATTAACATCTGAGGCCTAAGGCTGGATGGCTCTTGGGTGCTGACCCACAAAGCCTTTGACTTCAGGGAATAGTAGTGAGAGAGTCTTGCATGCCTTACTGCCCCAGGCTGTGGGGTTTTGAAAGAGACTCACCATGCAGCTGATGCCCAATCAGTCAGAGGACCATCCAAGTGGGAAAGGGGCTATTTGAGCTTCTGGTCTGCCTGCTGCACAAGTGTAACCGTCACTTTTATTTAATGTATAAATATAATATTTAATCCATTTCAACCAGTGATTTCTATCTTGGTATCTTGTTAGCACTGTCAAAGTTTGTTCTAAATCTGTAATTTCTACAATCTAGACTATGGCTTTGTTATTGGAAAGAATACCAGTTTGATCGAGACAAGGTTTTAGGGAAGAATAAAGGAAAGGGGGTGGAGGATCAATGAAGCACACTTCAAAATTTCCTATTGGGTCTGTCACGGAATGAAAATTAGCTCTTAGGCCATAGAAGCGACTTAGAGTGGAGTTAGTGTAGGTGGAGGTAGGGACAGAGTTGGAGATGTTACACTGCTGAAACTGACAATTAGAGGGAGTTACTTTTTTGGTAAAGTGGATTTAGGGTTTTAGATCAATGTAGCCTCCTCTTGGAGAGGTCCAGTCCTGATGTTTGGTGGTCCAGATTACATCTCCCCAGTCACAACAGAACCTCCATCCAGCGCTTAATGCACTTCTGATATAAGTGTGTCAGAAGTCTTATTTATTCTAGAGGGGCAGAGATACTTGTCAATAGAAGCTAGCCACCCCTGCAGCTTTTCTTACCTTAGTCCCAACCAAGAAATACTTCATTGCCCCCGCACTTTTCTTACCTTGGTCTGTGCACAGAGTTACCTGGTCTCTGAGTTATCTATTTGTAGGCCTTTTCTTCCGACCTTGCTGAGAATCCAGGTTTATTCATCATGCCAGATGGGTCTCAATCTCTTACCCCTGAGGCCACTGCAACGAGGCAGTGGGACATGTCTCCTCACAAGAGATGATCAGAGACCCCTCCCCAGAGGAGAATGGGATCCTGGGTGGGCCCCCAAAATTATTGAAAGTAAAACTCATAGTCACAAAGAAAATGAGTATTTAAACAAAGAATTTCTCAGCAAGGAAAATTTACTTCTGCAGAAGGGTGCTTCTTACAGTTCTGATCACCCCAAGAGCACACCAAACAAAAGAAGGAAGGGGTTTTTATTTCTAACGCAGCTTGTCCCTACTACTGTGTCCTGCCTCTATTGGCTGGAGTTGGACTGCACAATTTAAGCTGAACCCAAACCCAGTTGGCTAACTTGAAAAGTGCAGGAATGCGGTTGCACTGGTGGGAAGGACAGTTTTGGCAGGAAGGGCTGTTGCGACAGGAGGGATAATTTACAGAGTGAGTAACAGATTTGGGCTCTGTAGATAAGGACCAGCAGGAGAGTTGTTTACTGAAACCAAGACAGGGAGGCACAGAGATAAAGGAAGTTTGGCGTTGAAAGTAGAGAACAAAGAACAAAGAAACTAAACAAGCTAAACTTTTGAAGAGAAACTTTTTCTTGTATCTGACACTTGGTAAAAGGCAACAAGTAATTAACAGAATAAATAGTATATTTATGGTTATGTAAGAAGGAGATACATGCTGTAAAAATGGGGTATAGAAAAAATGAGCACATGTCCACACAAAAACTTGCAAATTGAACATCATAACTTTATTGCTCATAATGTCCAGAAAGTGGAAACAACACAAATGTCCAACAATTAGTGAATGAGTAAACAAAAAATGAGGTATATCCATATAATGAAATACTCTTCAGCAATGAAAAGAAAATAATACTGATACATGATATAATGTGAATGAAACACAAAAACATCATGCTAAGTAAAAGAAACCACACAAAATTAGCCCCTTTTTAACACTGGATTTATATTAAATGTCCCAAAAAGAAAATCTATACAGATGGAAAATAAATTAGTAATTGCCTAGAGATGGGTTTGGGACAGGAAAATAACTGTAAAGGGGGATAAGTTTTCTTCGTAATGTTATTAAAATGTTTTCAAATTTGATAGTGTTCATAGTTGCACAACTCTGTACTAAAAATCATTGAATTGTGCACTTAGGTAAATTTTTGCCATTTAATTATACTGCAACCACCTTGTTAACTAAAAAAAAATTTGAGGAAAGAAAATGTCTTAAGGGAAGGGTGATTGGGAGCATTGCCTGGGTGCAGGTGTAACTTCATTAAGGTAGTCAGATTTAACCTTACGAAGGAGGAGATAGTGATCAAAGTGTTGCTATCTGAGGAGTATGGATTCCAGCCTGAAACAAAACCTTATAAAATTTTTCTGAGGTTGGAGGGGATGTGGTGAGTTGCAAGAATACCAAGAAAGCAAATGCGACCTAAGCAGAATGAGTTGAGTAGATGAAGATGTGTTAGAGAGAGAAAGGATGGGGCACAGAGTGGGCAGGGCCTTGTAAGCCCCTGTAAGGGATTTGACATCAATTTGAATGAAATGAAAAAAAGTGAGATTTTGAGATTAGGAGTGATCTGGATTCACTTCCACTTTTATGGTATATTCATGACTTCTCTGTTAATCAATCATTGGAGGAAGATAAGGGTGAACATAGGAGAAGCAAAGAGATAAGATGAGTAATTCAGTCATCCTATAAGAGAATTTAAGGTTTGGAACCAGGGAAGTAGCAGTGTATATAGTTAGAGGTCATCTGAATTTCTGTTTGTGAGCATGTGCATTTTATTGCTAATGAAGAATCTTTTTGGCTTTATAGAAAGAACATGATGACATCAATTTCTTTTCACCTAAGAAGTTGGAATTGATTTTGCCATCCTGCTCTAGACTTTCAGACCATGAATTTTCTGGCACTGGATGATTTCCTTACCTTGACTTCTTCTTGGTTCTATAAAACAGCAGTGATGCACACTTAGGAGCCATTGTAGTGATGAAAAATGAAATAGGTGTAAAAACATGAAATATTTTCAACTTTGATCAAATGTAATATATTTCAGGTAGTTGATCTGTTAGGTTCGTGGGACAATCTGAAGAAAAACAAAACAAGGCAAAACTTTCAGATTTTAAATAATTTTCTGAATTCTTATATAAGCATAAATATTATAATTTGGTTTTCACTTAAAATAGCTGTACATATTTATATTCTAAAATCATTGTAAATTTTAGGAAATGATATCTATTTCATAATTTCATATCGAGAAAATCTTTGGAAAGGTTAGTCAGTGGTTTCGTATTTAGGCAAAATTCAAATTGTTTTAGAATTATTTGAAAAAATAAAGTTGATCCTGCTGAAGTTTTTCAAACTTTAAAGAGCAATATTATGTTTAATAAAAAAATGCATTCTGGAAAGTGTGTAAAAATAGATTTTTCTAGTTCTGTGAAGAATTTCATTGGTGGATTAATAGAAATAACATTGAACCTATCAATTGCTTTCAGAATAATGACCATTTTAGCAATATTAATTCTTCCTATCCATGAGCATGGAATGTTTTTCCATTTGTTTGTCTCATCCCTGATTTCTTTGAGCAGTTTTTTTGTAGTTCTCCTTGTAGGAATCTTTTAATTCCCTGGTTAGCTGTATTCCTAGGTATTTTATTCTTTTTATAAATATTGTGAATAAGATTGCATTCCTGATTTGGCTCTCAGTTTTGCTATTACTAGTTTATAGGAAAACCAGTGATTTTTGTACATTCATTTTGTATCTTGAGACTTCACTGAACTTTTTTATCAGCTGAAGGAGCTTTTGGGCTGAGACTTTGGGCTTTTCTTGATGTAGGGTTATGTTGTCTGCTAACAGGGATCGTTTGCGTTCCTATATTCCTATTTGGATGCCCTTTATTTCTTCTTCTGCCTGACTGGTCTGGCCAGGACTTCCAATAGTATATTGAATAGGAGTGGTGAGAGAGGGCATCCTTGTCTGGTGCCAATTCTCAAGGGGAATGTTTCCAGCTTTTGCCTGTTCGGTATCATATCAGCAGTGGGTTTGTCTCTTATGATTTTGAGGCATGCACCTTCATTATCTAGTTTGTTGAGAGTTTTTAACATAAAGATATGTTAATTTTTATTGAAAGCCTCTTCTGCATCTATGGAGAAAATAATGTGGCTTTTGTCTTTAGTTCTGTTTAAGTGATGAATCACATTTATTGATTTGCATATGTTGAACCAACCTTGCATCCCAGGGATAAAGCCTCCTTGATTGTGGTAGTTAAATTTTTGATGTGCTCCAAGGTTTGGTTTGCCATATTATATTGATGATTCTTGGATTGATATTCATCAAGGATATTGGCCAGCAGTTTTCTTTCTTTCCTTTTTTTTTTTTTTTGGTTGTTGTTTGCGTCTGCCAGGTTTTGGTATCAGGATTATGCTGGCCCTATAGAATGAGTTAAGGAAAAGTCACTCCTCCTTGATTTTTTGCAATAATTTCAGTAGGAATGGTACATGCTCTTCTTTGTAATTGAGCTGTGAATCTGTCTGGTTCTGGGCTTTGTAGAGTTGGTAGGCTATTTATTACTGATTCCATTTTGCACCCCATTATTGGTCTGTTCAGGGACTCAATTTTTTTCCTGGTTCAGTATTGGGAGAGTATGTGTATCCACTAATTTATTCATTTCTTCTAAATGTCCTAGTTCATATGTGTAGAGGTGCTCATAGTATTCTGATAGTTATTAATATTTCTGTCTGGTCAGTGGTATTATTCCCTTTGTCATTTCTAATTGTGTTTATTTTTATTTTCTCTCCTTTCTCCTTTATTAATCTAGTTAGCAGTCTACCTGTTTTATTAGTTTAAAAAAATCCTGCATTTGTTAATATTTTGAATGGTTTTTCATGCTGCACTCTATTTCACTTTACTTCTGATTTTTGTTATTTCTTCTCTTCTGCTAGCCTTTTGTTTTTGTTTTTTGTGTTTTTCAGATGTGATATTCCATTGTCAAATTGAGATCTTTCCAACTTTTTGATGCGGGTATTTGGTGCTATCAATTTTCCTCTTAACACTGTTTTAGCTGTCTCCCAGAGATTCTGGTATGTTTTGTCTTTGTTCTCATTTGTTTCAAAGAACTTCTTGATTTCTGCCTTAATTTCATTATTTATCCAAAAGTCACAGAGGAGCAGGTTTTTAAATTTCCACATCATTGTATGATTTAGAGCAAATTTCTTAGCCTTGACTTCTAATTTGACTGTTCTGTGGTCTGAGGGAGTGGTTGTTACTATTTCAGTTCTTTTGCATGTGCTAAGGAGTTTTTTATGTTCAACATTGTGATTGATGTTAGAGTATGGGCCACGTGGCAATGAGAGGAATGTGTATTCCGTTTTTGGGGGGTGGAGAGTTCTGTAGATGTCTGTCAGGTCCATTTGATCCCGTGCTGAGAACCGGTCTTGAATATCTTTGTTAATTTTTTGTCGTGATGATCTGTTTAATACTATCAGTGGGGTGTTTAAGTCTCCTCTCCCACTATTATTGTGTGGGAGTCTAAGTCTCTTTGAAGGTCTCTGAGGACTTGCTTTACAAATTTAGATGTTCCTGTGTTAGTTGTACATATATATTTAGCATAGTTGGGTCTTCTTGTTGATTTAAACCCTTTACCATTATGTAATGCTGCCCCCTTTTTTTAAATATCTTTTTTTGTTGCAATCCTTGATTTCTGTTTTCCATTTGTGTGGTAGATTTTTCTTCATCTCTTTATCTTGAGCCTATGGTTGTCATTTCATATGACATAAGTCTCTTCAATATAGCATACCAATGGGTCCTGGTTTTTTATCCAGCTTGCCACTCTGTGCCTTTTAATTGGGGCTTTCAGCCCATTTACATTCAAGGTTAGTAGTAACATGAGAGGATTTGATGTAGTCATCATGATGTTAGCTGGTTATTATGCAGACTGTTTGTGTAGTTGCTTTGTAGTGTTAATGGTCTGTGTACTTCAATGTGTTTTGTAGTGACTGGTAGTGGTCTTTCCTTCCCATATTTAGTGCTTCCTTCAGGAGCTCTTTTAAGATATGTCTATTGATAATGAATTATTTAGCATTTGCTTGTGTGACAGGAATCTTATTTTTACTTTGCTTATGAAGCTACTTTGGTGATACAAAATTCTGGGTTGGAATTTCTTTTCTTTAAGAATGTTGAATATTGACCTCCAGTCTCTTTTGGCTTATAAGGTT